GTGGCCCCCGGGAGGGCCGGCGGGTTCGGCGGCGGCAGGCGCAACAACCGGCTCTCGTCGAGCAGCGCCCAGCAAGGCTCTAGCGGAGATGCGGCGGGGGCGGCGACACCGGCGGGGGCGGCGGGGGGCGGCGCCGGCGGGGGCGGGAGCGGGTCTCAGTGGAGAGTGGGCGAGGTTTCTCCGGAAGAGGCGTCGTCGGCTCTGCAGGGGGTTTCGCCTTCGTCCTCGAGGTCTGGCGGCGGCGGCAGCACCAGCGGGGGAGGCGTGTTGGGGGTGGGGGGGCTGGGGTTGACCGCGCACGCCATGAGCCGAATGGAAAAGGTGTGGATTACTTACTGTACGACATGTGCATGTGTATGGTGGCCGACTCCGTAGAGGTTGTTGTCCTTGCGCGTGGGGTTAGGATGGAGCATTGGCTCTGGTGTTCTCGTTTCAGTGGATGACACGAGGGAAATTTATGGGCGTGGCACGGCGATGGGTTTTTGGTGGTTTGACCGCTGCCACGGCGAGAAACCGATCGATGGATCGGTGGATGGATCGGTGGATGGATCGGTGGATGGATCGGTAGCTTTCGTTGGAGGAACGTGCAGGTAGGTGGTGGCCACAGAGATAAGAAGGTGGATGAGCTGTCTACTGCTGTACATGTGATTTTGCGAGAATTTTCCATTGACATATGGTATCATGTACGTGTAGGGCTGAATTACCGGACAAGTAAACACTGGCAAGTTATTTGTGCTAAACGCCGTCGGTTGGTGTCTGGTGTCTCTCTCTTGCAGGCATCAGGACGGCGCTCCGTCGCGGCAGGGATACTACGCTAGGTGATCCAACTACGTTAATCTATGTAGCACCAAACGGCTAGTCCACCCCCTTGCCATTTGAACCCAACTTGAAGGTGAAAGGAAGTCAACGCGCGAATGGCATGGTGAACGGCATGCCGGGCGTGCAAGCGCTGGGCGAGAACCTGTCCCAGCTCGACCTTAGCGAACACTCCCGCAACGAGCTTTACAGACAGCAGAGGGCAGGAGGTGGCGGCGGTGGCGGAGGGGGAGACGCAGACAGGAGATCACTCCAGGCCGGGGGTCAGGGCCAGGGTCAGGGGCAGCAGTCCCAGCATCACCAGCAGCAGCAGCAGCAGCAGCAGCAGCAGCAGCAGCAGCAGCAACAGCAGCAGCAACAGCACCAGCAGCAGCAGCAGCAGCAGCAGCAACAGCAGCAGCAGCAGCAGAGGCCCAAGCCAAACTACACGCAGCCCCTTCGGGATTCCGGTGGGTCTGACTGGAGCGGGGGGCACAAGCGTCAAGGGTCAGGCATGGGCATGGGCATGGGCATGGGCATGGGCATGGGCATGGCTGCGGAGCGAAGGCCGACAGCTGCGGAGGCAGCTGAACTCCTCCGCCGAAGGTGCGCCGCAAAATGTAACTAGAACCCCCACCCGCCTCCGATGGTATGTGCCGAGCTTCCAACAGCAGTTGTTGCATCATGAAGCGGCCTACTCAGGGAGTAGGTATTGCTGTCTGTCTGTCTGTCTGTCTGTTTCTGCGGACGCATCACTGCTGGCCTATCTGCAATGGCTCTTGAAGCACCGAACATGATATCAGTAAGGGACAAATCGTTTTTTGTCGCAGTGTGGTTTGCCTTGGATGCATGTATGCAATCATACCGTTATGTTAGTTTCTCTGACTGGGGGACTGGGTCTGTTGTTTTTTGTTGATTTTGCATGTTACCACGGAAGGCTTTCGCGTCAGTGGGATGCATGTGGGATGCATGTGTTCCGTCCCTGACACTGACGTGACGCAGAAGGTATTGGTGTCGTGTTGCCTGGATGTGGTAGGTACCCTCTCGAGATAGGGAAGGGGCTGCTGAACGAACCTTTCTCGCGTTAAAACCGAGGGCATATGTACACGGCAGAGATACTTTGTTTGGTGACTTTCGGTGTTCGATGGGACGAATGAAACCCTTAGGCTGAAGAGGAAAGCGGGGCTCTACGGTAAGGTCAAGGTCAACTATCGAGGGACGGGCGTCAATGAGGGAACGGGTTGGCGATACTTCTACTTATTCTTGAAGTACTCCGGAATATTGGGCATCACGTTGTTTTGTTTGCGATGTTTTGTGGGGGGTGGCGATCGAAATGAGTGCGCCCGATGTGCGCAAGCGCCAAAAGCGGGTACTGAAGAGGTTCTAGAGACAGAGACAGAGAAACAGAGAACAGAGAGAAGGGAATGATACCGAGCAATGGTGACCCTCATGTCTGCTCCTGGTGCATCCTAGTTGACAAGTTTTTGGAGCCATGGAGCCATGGAGCCATGAGGACGGCTAGTGCTGGCGGTTGATGTTCAACCCGATTCGCATGCGTTTATGCGTTTCTCTTACCATACTTGTGTATGCACAGGTCTTCCGTGGATGAGGTGATCGGGCTCCTGTCGGCGCCTGCAGCGGACGGAAGCTTCGAGGATGAAGGCATGGGGTCGCAAGACTGTGACCCGGCGCAATTCGACAGCTGGCGGAACTCTCTCACCAAGGTGGGTCCTCCTCGTCGTTGTTGTACGTACGTACCATATATTGTACTGTAGACCATGGACTCCGCTGAAGCAGTGGTAGGTAGGGTTTGCAGGTCGGCGGGCGTGTTAGCCAGCTACGTAGGCTGGTCACTGTAGTTGGTATCGCGCGGGTGATGCGTGGAAGCTATTGAATCCCCCGGGCCGACCCATGCAAGCGTAGCGTACACGCGAATTTGCCGCGATCTATGACGTTAGCGTAGCTTGGTGGGTTGCATGTCGTATTGGTATATACCACACGCCCTGGCCTGGACCACCCGATGTTTATTGACACCCCGATTGGTCTTCAAGGCAGCCAGGGACGGTGCCAAAAATGGCGACGTTGGGGCCATCTCATTAAACGTCTTTTTTCCGAGAACGGATCATTTGGTGTTGGTTTCCCTTCGTAGTGGAGTAATCGAGGTGTGGAGATTGGTGTAGAGGGGTGGTACCTTGCGTATGCAACCTACTGGTAGGCCACTTCGCAACCTCTTCCTTCGCGGGTCGCCTCGAGCCAGAGGCAAAAAACCGTTGACCGTCGTGCACTGAGATCAGCGGCAGTCGTTGAGAACGACAGGGGCAGCAGCCAGGGGCAACAGCCGAAACATCTTCAGGCAGCAGCCGAAATATCTTGACGGTTACACTCTTAAACTGTAGAGTGTGGCGTCGGTAGTGATGGGTGTGAGAGTGAGAGGAAGCGGCTTTGGCGATATTCTTTTCACTCGGCACAGTGAGGACAAGAGAGACGACAAAAGCCCGCAACAAACAAGCATGCATACAAAACAACGCCATCTCTTGGGTGGGCCCCTGGACTGCTTGCGTTACGTATACTATCAGGTTCTCGGACACCTGGGCTTCGACTTCGAAAACGAAGAGGGAGCTCCGTGCGAAGAAGAGGAGCTCGGCCCGGACGGCAAGCGTTCCCCCACGGACACGGACAAGCATTCTCGTCACAACAGCCGCGGGTCGTCGCAGTTTCTCAGCTGGGGGGGGACGTCTGCGATGTCGTTCGAGGTGCGGTGGACCGTGTTTGTCAATACATGTACTCGTACAGCAGTACTGCCGTGTGGCTGGTCTTGTCTTCTCTGGCTTTTCTTGGTCCCTTTGTTTTACTTGTAGGCGTCTCGTGGTGTTGGTTTTTGTGATCTCAATGGTTTATTAATAGTTTCTACACGTCGGTCTTGATCCCTGTCGGGGCAATTCTGGACGCAGCAGCCGGGGTAAAGGACTACACAGGAGGAAAAGTCAGCGTTGTTTCTCCGTGTGCTGCGATTTTTCATTTCACGATATTCCTTGATTCCCGTGCGCGATGTCTCCTCGTCCCCTCGTGTTGCGAAATCAACTCCTGGTTCCGATCTAGTTGGCTCCTCCCATTTTCGGCAAGTGTAGTTGCCCATTTTTTTTCAATTTTCCAAGGACAGTGTTGTTTTTTGCGCATTCGCCGTTTTGTGCATGACCCACTTGTTGTGTTCGCTAGTGTCTCAACGGCAGTAAGGCTGTGTTGTGTTGCGCGAAGGGCAGTACGCGAACAGCAGTACATAACCAAGCAAGCCATGCCGTCCGTCCGTCGGTTGGTGCTGAAACGGCTCGGTTTCTGCTGCAGGAGCGACCGGAGGAATTCCACGAGAGCCTGCGGCAGATCCCCATGCGCTGGCGGTCTTCGCTGTCGAGCATCATGACATCGATGGCTTCCAACGGTGGCTTCGACGAGCACGGCGGGGCTTACGCCAACGGTGCTGGCAATGGCGGCGGAGGCGGAGGCGGTGGTGGCGGCGGCGGCGGCGGCGGCGGCAACGGCGGCGGGAGGGGAAACATGGGCATGGATGTCTCGGGGGATGGCGGCAACGTCACCGGGCAAACGGGCGAGCGGAAGGTGGGCCAATCAGAACGCGTCGGGGGCTGTTCTGTGTCTCTTTTGTGTGTTTTGCCGTATCATAGCTGCTTTTGTTTAGCTGCTGCTCGACCGTGTCTTTTTTCACGTTGTTGTTGATGCGGCATTGGTTCACCTATCATATTATATCGGGCTGGTTACTCTGTACGGCGAAGGGATTTGGCCGGTCGTGTACCGGGCACCCACCCGGCACTCTTGTCGGTATGGGACAATTTTGACTGAATATTAATATTCCATCATCTGTGTCCGGGCCTTGTTGAGGGCGAGCGGCCTTGTTTATCCAGGGACGACAGCTGTCATAATGATGTATTGCCATCGCCAACAGCCCTGGCCGGGATTTCCATTCCATGGGGGGAAAACCAACGGCGAATGAGACGCTTGTTGTATCATGGTGTACCCGAACCTCTCCCTCTTGCCACCCTCGTACCAGAGCTCCCATCCGTCCCATTTTGTTGTATCATGGTGTATCCGAACCTCTCCCTCTTTCCACCCTCGTACCAGAGCTCCCATCCATCCCATTCCCTCGATCGCACGTGGGTATGTTCTGTTCTATTCCTGGTGAAGCTGTCTTGTCTTGTCATCTCAACCAGCCGCGAAGGAGGAGTATTGTAGTGGTCGTCATGATCGTTTGTTGCTACAGTATTCTACTTGTACGGACCCTTAACCCAGCCCCACGAATCCACCTTCGAAAACCCTTTTGGCGCCACCAGCAGCGGCTTGAGCAGCAAGCCTCGCTGGAAATGCTCCAGTCGGTGATGCGCGAGACCCTGGAGAGCATGAGCGGCGCCGACGGGCACGAGGCTAGCACCGAGGACGGAGAGCAAGAGGCCAAGGCCGCTGCGACGGCCGCGCTCGCCATGGGCTCCATGTGCCGCGCCAAGTCCAACGAGGAGAACAGCTCGGCCACCAACGGCGGCCACGGGAGACCCCTCAGCGCCGGCAGCACCGGCAGCGGGCGGGGGATGGGGGGGCCATCCGGGCACAACTCCTACGTCGCGCCCCCCCCCTCCTCGGCTGGGATGCACGGGCCCCCCGGGGGGGTTTCGGCTAGCTCTTCCTCGAGGGTCGTTATGGGGGTGGGGCATCACGAGAGGAGCTCCAGCCAGGCAGCGGCGGACGCTTACTTCATGCGGCAGCAGGCGGCGGCCGCGGCGGGTGGGGGGCAGTACGCCCTCGCCGCCGGTGGTGGGGGCGGGGGCGGGGGCGGGGGCGGCGGCGCCGTCGGCGGCGGTGGTGGCGGTGGTGGCGGCTTAGGGATCCACCACGACCACCAGACGACCTTCTGATTAGTCGAAAAATACGAGTCTTGTGCTTGCGCTGGGGGAGCGAGCAAGAAAGAGAGCGGAGGCTGGCTTTGATTTTCTTAAGTCAGGTGTAAGATAGGAACACAACAACGTTGTTTTTGTTTTTTCGTGTTCTCTCGGGAGAAAGGTGCGGAGAACGGCGCGGGGCACACCCCAGTAGGAGGGAAGCTGGGGCGGACTTAATAGTAGGCCGTGACGGTGGATTGGTTAGGTCTTGGTCGATTGGCTCGCTTGGAGGCGTTCTTCTGTCCTCCTTCTGAGCTTTCTGCTAAGAAAGGAAGGGTTTGGTGCATATATGAGGTTTTCTTAATTATTTGTTCTCTTGTGTTCTCGTTCGTCAGTTTGGTTCATGCTCTCAAATATATCTCAATCCTTGTTTCTTTTAGTACCAGTGCTCCCTCCCGCTGCTTTCTTTCCGTTGTGGTGTTATCTCATCTTTGGAGTATGCAGAGGTGTTTCGTTTGTGTTGTTGGTGTCGTTGGATGACATGCCACGGGGGTGCTTTGTCACGGGGGGGCAGGCAGTTCAGGCCAGTGCGACAGGGGAATCCTCGAGATTCGAGGGATTTCCCGAACGCATCGACCAGCGACCCGAGGCAGGCGCCTGCTGTCTAGCGAATGTGTGCCGTGTTGTAGAATACGTTCAGTCGGGAGTTTGTGGTAGTCCTGAAGTTTTTTTGGGCTTGCACAATCCAGACGGGCTAGCTAGCGGAGGGACGACGAGATGAGAACGATGCCCCAATCGAACTGACTTGTCTTGGCACGTATCTGTCTGTAAAATGGGCGTTTAGTATGTTCGTGCCGACGCCCCTCGGGTTTCCTCTTGAAGGGAGGCCGGCGACCTGTTGTATATTTTCTCTCCGTTTTTTGGCTCTCTTGAGAATCGCGGCACCATGGCAACATCCATGTGTGTGGCTTATAGGTTGAAGGGTGGAGCAATATCTGTTTCTTTTCGTTTTTTTCGTTCTTCTTTCTGCCCGTGTTGGTCTTGATGGCCAGCAGGAGTGTCGGGATCGGGTGGTGGTCTTATGTAGCCTCTGACGGAGCTGCATGAGCAGCAGCAGCAGCCAGCAGCAGCAGCAGCAGGAGCAGCAGCAGCAGCAGCCACCATGTTTACGCGTTCAGAGCGTCATGATGATGGCTTCGGCCGATCCTTGGTCGGGAAACTTTTTTTGCGTTTGATTTTTGCTACGATCGACGGAGGGTGGTGCAGAAGCTGGGGTGCGAGCAGGGCGTCGAAGGTTAAGGTTGACACGTTTTAGGTTTGATTGCCGCGGTCCCATAAGGTCAGTACAGCATGTATGTTGTAACAGTGAGTACCAAATTTGCTCACGTTTTCTTACGTGGCTAAGCTTGAGTGTGTCCGGGGGGGAGGGGGGGGGCGCTATTGGTCGTGCCGGTATTAGGTCGCCCCGATCGAACCCTTCTTTTTGCCGGGAACATGAACGTGGCTAATTCCGTGACACGCTCCATTCGCGGGAGACGGGCACGATGCGGGGGAGAATGGGTGGCGATCGGAACTCGAAAATTATTAACTTTGTCACGTCGTGGGTCTCATGGTGGGGTAGGCTAGGGTAGGCGATATCCAAGCGATGCATTTAGCGGCGGCCGTGTGTGAAACGGGGCCATTGACCCACAGTAACCGAAAAACCAAGCTTGAAACAGCTCTCACAATCGGCATGCTTGAAACAGGTTGTTTGGCAGTCCGTGTAGAGCAGGCGATATCCAAGCGTTTCGATACAGGTGGCGTAGCATATGGTATAGCGGTGTTGACAAGTGTGTTTTCCGCCAGCGGAGCAGGCATGCCGGCTTCGTTCATCTTCGTTTAATGGGCGTATGTAGTGCTAATTCTTTTTAGGACATCGTAGTGGGTATGTGCCGATGTCCGTCTGCTTTCCTGTCTGTCTCGCGTCGCCATCAATCCGTACAGTACAGAACAATGATTAGATGATAGGATGACGGAGGAGCAAAACAGGGGAAGAAGAAATAGGATGTTTTTTTTTTTTTTGTCCTTGCGCGGTTGCCGGCGGGAGCAGGAGGGTACGAGTTTTTTATTACGTGACGATTCTATTATTGTTCGTTTTCACTCCATTTCATTCCTGTTCGCGGCTTGTCGAGGAGGGCAACAGCAGTCCTTCTCTACAAGTATGAATCTGCAAAGACACCTATATTATCCCGGGGGGGGCGGGCTCATGGGGCAACTAGAAATAATTCTAGTACATGTGGTGCGGTGTATCTTGTTGCGTTTGGGTCCACTCCTTTTTCTACCTGGACCGATTGTGGTGTCTATCGTTGTTGAAGGCGGACGGCACGAGGGTTGATGTCGCAATTCGAACACATCTTTTCCTTGAAATATAGATGCGCTGTTGGCACCTTGCGGGGGAGGGGGGGGGGGAATCATGGTATCGAGTGTATGTACGACTGCTGACTGCTTTTTCGGCGTTTTCACGACAAGGAACGAGGAACACAAATCACCCCCCCATCTTTGGCCAGGCAAACAGACAGCAGTAGCCTTGTTGGTGGTTCCAATGCCTGCCCGTACGTGCTGTGCATTTTTTTGGGAAGCCCCGGGGATGAGTACTGTTGGGTCATTGGTACGTTCCTTGTAATTTTGTCGCCCGGCCGACCGGCTTACAAAATGTCAAAAAATATGTTAGCTACCGGTTGCGTGTTTGTGCCCTTTTCGGATGAGCTCTGGAGGCGGAAAAATGGAGGCAAGCAGGCAGAGAGCAATCAGTCCGTGAATCGCTTGGCTTTGTTGAATGGAATATTGTGTCTCCTCGCGTATTTATGATGATGATGATGATGATGATGATTTTGGTGGTGTTGAGTTTTTCACACTTGGTGGGAATCTCTGGAAGCAAGCAGCAGTAGCAGCAGCAGCAGCAGCAGCAGCAGCCACCGAAACCGTTGCTTCTACTCCGACGTACTTTAACGGATATCGCAGTACTGGTATGACATTGCAAAGAGGCAGGTATAGCAGGCGCCGTCGTTGTTGGCCTATCGCGCCCTCCCCTCCGTCCCCCTCGTGAGGCCTGAAAAGGATCAAGGGCAGAGACGCTCTGTCCCAAATGTCGTTTCATGCGATGTATGTGTGGCTACTTTTTTTTTTTTTTTGGGCCAGTCTTACACTGAAGGAAGCGTGTCCACATACGTACTGCCGTAGCACAACGGCGGTTTTCTCGCAAGCACACAGCTAGGTCGTCTACTGTACTGGCGTTTTTTTTTTCTCGGTGCCGTGGCATGACTTGCTATGAACAAGGTACAGAGGTTGGTCGTCGACTCTCGCTTAGATGCGTACATATTTAGTTACAAGTATCGTGGGAGTAGCGAGTAGCACCAGGGGAGGAAGACGGAGGGTGGGGCAAAGAGGGAACCGGCATGCTTCCCCCGTCGCTTCGTTGGTTGCTATCCTAGCTCTCCTCTTGTGGATTTTTTTTGGAATGTTTTTTTGTTGGTGTTTCGCACGTTCGGTTTATTTTGTGGTACATGTACTGTAGCACGACGACAGTTCAGTGTGTGCAGGCGGTGGGAGCTGGGTCGTGCGGGTGCCCTGTGATCTTGAACGGGGTCCGCTGTGTGAGGCTAGTCTGCAGTCTGCTTAGCCTATGCATATAGTGTTGCTGTTTTCAGCCCTGTGAAGTTGCTCGTCGATGGACAAGAAAGAAGAGAGTGAGTGCTGCATCAGATTCGTCTGTCTGCGTTTTGTCGTGTGGGAGGGAAGGCAGGCAGGCAGGCAGGCAGGCAGGCAGGCAGGCAGGCAGGCAGGCAGGCAGGCAGGCGTGGTTCAACCTCCTTCCCGGGTTAAAAGGATGGGATAATATCCTGCTTCGGTATTGTGGTGTAGCTAGCTCGGATGGATGTCAATCAGGATGCAGCGGGGTTGGTGGCAAGAGCGGCTCCTCCTCCTCTACTGTCTGTAGGTTGCTCATGTTGATATCCACTGCAATAATGATGGTGATGAATGAACAGGCTTACAGCCAGCCGCAACCAGACGCGATGCACGAACAATGACGGCTACCGGAGACAGAGAGACGATCTATTACAAGAAGTTTGCACACCTACCTTCGTGCATTACTTCCGGTTCTCAACTGCCGTTCATAATTGAAGCCCACGACGGCGTGCGTTTGGCCACGGGCCTACTGTGCGAAACCCAACGAACTACAGAACGGTTGCTGTAAGAACTTGCTCAACAGTTTGTTACTGTAGACTGGAGGGGTTTTTCGTGTGTTTTTCACGTATCTCAGCGCTTACAGCATTTCCGCCGGACAGGAGCTATCTCGGATCCGTGGTCACACAGAAGGGTTAAGGTTCCTACCCCTGGGCCCCCCTACCAACCCAACTCCTGCGTTGCTTGCGTTCGGAGGGTGCAATGAAAAAGAACTTAGACCTGCAACAGTTTAGCAAGAACATTGATTGGCTGTCGGTTTCTTCACCGTCGTCACTGAGAAAGGAAGCCGCGAGGGTTGACCCAAAACAACAGGATTAGGGGTACAGCAGTATAGTACAATATATTATGTGGTGGTGGCGCCCACAAAGACCTACTATCTTCCCTACGCACGCCAACCAAGCTCAGTACGAGGTGCAAACCCTAGCCGTACACCCAACCAGCCGTAAACTTAAGAATCACAAAGTGAGAGACAAGTTGTTCTTCGTGTTCGAGGATACAAAATCCTCCCCGCCGGATAGAAACAAAGGCCGGTCCTTGCTCGCGTGTGGTGCTACGCAGCAGTTGAACTAAGCGGCTGGACGGTGGAAGGAGAGACTGCACTGCCTGCTACAGGAGCGGCTGGCAACAGCAGTGGCTAGACCTCACACGCACCACCACTTGAGAAAATGTACAATAGCCGAAGGTTGAGGGTTCAAACTCCTAGAAAAATAATATTGCGTATTGTACCAGTAGTCTACAGTCTAGGAACCTTGAGCCCCATTTTTGTTCGACCAACGCTCCTTCACAGAAAGAAGCCAGCCTCGGACAACGTAAGAGAGGTGGCCATGTATGTATGCGGAAAACGCATCGAATGCCCAGGATCAAAACTATTTCATTGAGGATGTACAGATAACAACGACGCTAGTTTTCCCGTGCGTGTTCTCCGAGAGATCCCCAGGTAAAACGTTAGCCTAGAAAAATGTACACGCCACGTCTGGATTACTTACTATCCTAGAGGACCACGATTTGACGACAACATGATGAGAATTTTGCACACGAAGCCTTCTCTACGTGGGGTATATTTCTTGGGCAAAAAAGGGCGTGCGTCACAGACAGAAACAGCCAGCGAACGGCCTAAAGCTGAACGGGCGACGCCACGGTCGCCAACGAAAAAGGGGGCGAAACAGGCGCCCGCGCGCGAGGACCCACAGCGTTAGTTACCACCCGCAGCCCCCTCCATTTCCCGGGCCCCGCCCTCAGGGTGCGCCGGGTGCCTACTCCTAGCGACCTCAATAGCCTTTGCCGCTCTCGGTCAGCCTCCCTCTGCTCCGCCGACCGCTGCGTCCTCATGGAAACCATGTCGGCCGCCAAGGCTGGGATGGCTGACCGGTTGCTGCTGGGTTTCCCACACCTACCCCCGCCGCCTCCAGCGCTATCAATGTCGGCAGCGAGGCCGGTGGTTTCCGCGCGACAGGTCTCTACCACAGAGAGGGCCGCCAGAAGCGGAGACTCGACAAACATCTCTTCTAAGGAGCGTGTCGGTGAAACACCCGAAGCCTCAGCGATGTTGTTCCAGCTGCCAACGGTTGTGTCCCCACGCCCTTTGTCTCCCGTTCTTTGGACACCACCGGCGTAGAACAAGCTTCGACGTTGTTCCTCCGTCATCGAAGACGCAGTCCCCCCCCCCCCCTCTAACGTGTTGGGCGCTGCCCCCGCCGCTCCTGAGCCCCGGTCGCCCGCTGAAAAATTCCTGGCACGGGGAGCAGCACCGCTGCCCTCGACTTCTGCCGCAGGCTCCCGGCCACCTTTCACGCTACGGCGTCTGTTGTTCTTGTTGTCGATTTGCTTCGTGTGCCTGGTGTGCTTCGAATTACGGCGCCCGGCCCTTGTTACCGCCTCTCCGGACAGCCTTCGGACGAGCCGGCTGGCCGCATTATTGAAAGAGGACGGCGTGACTTCATCGGACGCTGCTGCAACGGCAACGTGAAAATCGCCGTTGAGTTCTTCCAGGCCCGGATGCTCGCTGGGTGTTGCTGCTGCTGCTGCTGCTGCTGCTGCTGCCGCCGCTGCTGCAGCTACGGCTGTGCGTAAGCTGGGTTCGTCAAGGTCCGATGGCTCTAGAGCGGTGACGTTGGCAGCGGGTCTTTCGAGCGGGGGGAGTATGCATCTTTCTAAACCTGGAGGTGGCGTGTTAAGGAAGGGCGGCGGTTGGCACGGGCGGAGTGTTGTACGACGGCTGGCCATAAGCTAATGATCTTCCGAACGCGGGCGATACTGGTACACGTACACCATGCAACATGTCAGGTATAACCTTCGCTTGCCTCCCAATGGTCGAAAGTGATCCGGGTAGTGTAGGGGTGACTCCCCCCCCCCCCCCCCCCCCTTTCATTTT